TCCTTTACTTTTTTCCCGCTAATTTTCTACTGCACCCAGGCTATGACGGATGTTGTGAAATACATTTAAAAAAAAAAGAAAAAGAAATATAAGCCTATTTAAACTAAACATGTGTTATGAATACACAGAGTACAGTATGCTTATCCGTCCATGAATAAATAAATGAAATACAGTACGAATTTATTATATAATGCAATATAATTTGCAATGACTATAGGCCTATTATATTTATACGAGCTGACGAATGTTGTGAAATACATATAAAAATTATGTAGGCCTAGGTCTAATTAAATCAAACATGTGTTATGAATACATAGGGTACAGTGTGCTTATTATTCCAAGAATAACTCGTGAAAGAGACATAAACATATTATAAAATGCAATAAGAATAACAATGACTATAGGCCTATTATATTAAAACGAGTTAGCTGATATTATGAAATACATATAAAAATATGTTGATATACTTAAATTAAAAATGTGCTATGAGTACACAGGGTACAGTACCGTATGCTTATTCCTCCATGAATAAATAAGTGAAAGAACTATAGACATATTAATGCAATATGAATAACGATGACTAGGCCTGTTGTATTTATCATACGTGTTCTAGTTCTGGTTCTGGTGGGTAAAGATCGATAAAATCGGTAAAATCGATCGGTAAAATAGTGTTGAATGACAGGAATAGTCCACCACCGCAGTTTAAAACGCGCAGCGTCAGTCATGAGCAGGCTTTCCTTGCCTCAGACTGCATTGGACCTGATGGGTAAGATCTAGAAACTCACAATCGAATTCTGCGAAGAAAATCACATTTGGTAGTGTTAAGTGAAAATTACACTTCCAAGAAAGGAGGCGAGGAAATTAGAATGTTAGAGTAATGACAGATTGCAATACAATAAATTAAGGAAAATTTTAAATCCTTCGAAAGATGGTGTATTCTGTGATTATGTCTATCAGGCCTATCCGGATCCGCGCAATTAAGTAATATTCCAGACTCTCGACATGTGGTTCCGGTTAAAAGGGTCATTTCACTATATTTCATTTGGCCTAACTTAGCAGTGGCGGATCAAGGGGGAGGGGGTTCAAGAGGTTCTATCCTCTGGACATATGTGGCCGATCAAACAAAAACTAGGCTTAGCCCAACTAGCCTTCAATTAAATAAATTTAACAAACACTGTTTTTGGTTCGAGGAGTCGTAATAATTTATACGAAAGTGCGTTTTTCAGGCCTACCGGTCCATGGAGGAAAGACTATGTATCCAACTACACAATACTATTGGAATATAATAATATATTGCCTATGTCTTTTATTTTTTTCTCTATGTATAGGCCTTAGAAGGAGACAAAATTACCTGACCTTTTTCAAGAGAGGAAAACCTTGAATTTTGAAGGACTTAAATCTAAATTTTCCCGGGGAAGCACCCCCCCATCCCCTTTCTTTTTTGGGTTTTTTTTGGGGGGGAACTTTCTGAACCCCCTCCTTGAAATCCTGGATCCGCCCCTGCTTAGCTTCTTAAAAGCACTGCTACTAAAATATCTTTCGAGTGATCTTATTCTCATATCAATAATACCTCCATGTTTAGATTATTATTCATAACGTACCCTGGTAAAACATGTTGTCCGTATATAAACAAACTGATCAGCACATTTCTACAAGTAGATATAATGCTATGATAGGTAAGAACAATTATTTTTAATATTTTCTAATTATTTCTTTGTTGAAAAAGCTTAACTGATATTCTAGATTTCATAGAAACCACGTAATCTAATTTATGAAACGTAGCAGGCTCGGCACCTTGACCTTTAATGATTAGCGCCAAAATTCACTACAAACACGTAAAATAATAATAATGAAATAATATATTTACCTAAATTATTAATATTACTAACATATATTGTACATTGTACTATTAATACAGGCCATTTTAGGAAGGCTTTCTTCATACAGGCTTCTACGAATGGATGACTTGTTAAGGAGCAGCATATCAAGTTGCCCCACCCCAGTACCACCTGATTAAAATTGAAGGAAAATCAACCAATAGCTATAGTTTTAAAAAATGTAACAAGCCTAAGTGTCCGGCAGTATATAGTCCTGTGATCTGCAAGGTCTCTCCCAACGTCACATCAATGGGCGGGTTCTGGTGATTCGGTATTAAAATCGGCTTGGATTGGTCAAAGCCTGGATCCAGAAAATGTATTTAAGGCCTGATATAACACATTAAGCCACACTTCACGAAATTGAAGAGGAGGCAGTCATGAGATTCGTAAGTTGTACAATTTTATATTATTAAAATTTACAGATACTATTATAGTATAATATCATGGAGGTATATGACATAGAAAAAAACTAGAATATACTTTTAAATTTGGTTAGAATTACTCTTTGTTTTGTTATGTCTTCGTCTTCTTCAGTTGTCTTTAGACAGGGTTTTACAACCCATACTGGTCACTTATATCATTTATTAGCTTCTTCCACTTCTCTCTGCTCTGCCCATTGCTCGTTTTTGTGTTTGTTTATAGCATAGAGGAAATAGTTCTATTTTCTCTATGTTTATAGTCAAGGCCAATGTCTTTTAATTGTTTCTGCATCACAGTGAGCCAATTAAGTTTCTGTCGTCCAACTTTCTTTTTAATCTTTCGTTCGGCTTCGGTTAGTTCTTGTTTGATGATCGGTGTTGGTGTGTGTGGTGACAATCGTGTCATGTGCATCAACCATCGTTGTATGTTGGCATCGATGACCTTGGACCATGAAGTAGCCCTGTTATGTTTCTTTCACTTTGTTGAGAGGAGTTTATTTCTAAATTATTGTCATCTATGATAGTTGATGCAAAAGTTTTCGATGTATTACTTTTTGTAAAGATATTACTCCCTAATAACTCCTCATTAATAGTGAACTGAACGAGTCACTCTCGTTAAATATGTTTTCAATACATTTTTTATATAAGCGCTAAGACTATACTGTACTTGCATTTTTTCCCTTGTTAGACTTTACTTATTTTAATAAAGAATGTTGGCTATGGATAGGTACCATGTTTGTTGTCCTACAGTAGTCCCTATGGTATATGTATTATTTGTTTTATATATAGTACCTTCTTTGGTACCTTCGAACCCACTAACACTCGACACATGTTTGTTCAAAATAATTTAACTAATAATAACGATCTATGGTCGAGAACGTTTTCTAAATGATCTGTTCTTCCGAGATTTACTCTACATATTCTATAAAAACCTATATTGACTGAATAAATATTAACAAATACACACTTTTATGCCTTTTTTGGCTTTTCCTCATTGCCATAATGAGAGTTGATTTTGATTATAAAAAACTTCATTATGACATGGAAAACAACAATAAATGAGACTCAAACAAGGGCTGTAACGGGTAATACAGCAATTATACTAGATTTACTAAGTCGGTTTGTACAACAGAACATAGGGCTTTTCCTAATTGCTATGATTGCTATACACTTTTTTTAAATATAAGAACCAGTAAAATTTTGCCCAGGCTCAGTGTTCTTAGTTTTTGGCTGATTTCAGGCTCAAAATGTTCTTATTTTGTTCTTATTTTACACACTTTTCAAACTTCAAATTATTACACTGTACTGTATCGGAATGTAGGTATAAATCGCCCTGGAAAAAATTGCCTTTGAAAAAAAGGCCTGGAAAAAATGGCCCGAGAAAAAAGGCTGTACTAAAAATAGCTCCAACTGACAGGAGGTAAACCTACTGTACTGTATTTATTATAGAGAATATTATGTAATCACACCTACTGAACTTAAGGTACAAATAGGCCTATAAGTTTTTGTTTTTTTTTTTTTTTTTTTTTTTTTTTTTTTTTTACATTTTACCTGGGCCTTAGTTTGTTCTAATTTTGTTCTTAATTTTTAAGCAATTTCAGCCTCATTGTTCTTATAAAAAAAAGTGTAATGAGAAATGAATTTTGGATTGCAACAAAAAGAAAAATCGTTAAAAAGTAAAAAAGTAAAAAAAATGGAAAAGCAAAATACTTATAGTACCGTACTAAAAGAAATTATGAAGCTTAAAAAAAACGATGAAAACCAAGTTTACAACTACCACGATGTTAATGAGACTCGAACTATTGCTGCAATGGTAATAGCGACGTAGTTATTTTCCGTTCACTGCGATACAGTGACTGAAAAGCAAAAATTGTTCATGCATATCACGGTAGTTTTGAGTTTAACTTAGCTGCAACTGGTTGAAGCGCTTTAAAAAAAAACGCAAATTGAGTTTAGGCCTATATAATTTAATCAACTGTCCCAAAAAATCTTTAAATGGTCCTCATATCCACACCCTACAGCGGATCGTCACCAAATTTGATCATTTCTTATATTTGACCATGAAGAACTATTCTGCAAATTTCATTTTTATTTATTTATAATTGGAACGTAAGCAATTTAAATGTCTTTCAAACTTACACCCTAACAGTTGCATTGTCCCCAAAACATAAGAATATCTTCCTTTTAACTTGGTTACACTTTCCCGAAAGTTCCATTCGGATCAGTTGATCCGTTAATTAAAATATCTGGGATGGGATGTTTTTCTTATTCGCACTCTACTCCACATTGTGACAAACAATGGCAGCGCCACAAGGGGCACGGAGGAATCAGAATACTTTCTTGCACCGCCAGTTTCCCCCCTCCCCCCTTCCAAAAAAAAAGAAGAAAAACAATTTCAGAGAAAAAAATTATATGAATTTTCTACATATTAGTAGACAATAGACAATCCACCTATGAAATCGATAAAAATTAACCTTTGACACCCGTAAATTGCCATATTTTTCGGGGCTTTGCCCTTGGACCATTTTCGAGATATTTTGAACGACGCCCGACCACGCCCATCTCGCGCCACCCCAGCATATTTCCCCCTAAAATTTTACTTTGTCTCCCCCCCCTTTCCCCCCCCCCCCCCCCGCCAGATTTCAGGCTCTGGCGACGCCACTGCAAAAATAAATCATTTCTTTACTACTATTATTACTATTACTATTATTATTATTATTATCACACGAAGCTTGAAACTTTGATTTCATTGGAGCGACAAATTAATGTTTATGACATCGTAGTGGCGTTGGTGGGGGCTCATACTTGACCGACGTGGGAATCCCACTAACTGCTCCTGGCCACATCCACTGGATGGATCCACACAACTTTTTTCACATCAACAGATTAATTTCACAATTTATATTATATATATATCATTAACACAATTTATATTTTATATATATCATTAACATGACTGTTTAGAGATGGTACCGTATATACCAACAGGGACTACAAACCGGGTAATAGGTAATATAATATTTAGTATAGGCCTAATATTAGAAGTTTTCATACTATTATATTTCTATATTTCTATTTATAGTTATTGCTAATTGGTATCTTCATTGCGGTGGCTGCAAGCCCTTCTGAAGGCTATCGGCGATGTCCAACATATTGGGTTCCATATAAAAGAAGTTGTTATCGAGTGTTCTCATACTTAAAGACTTGGCATGAGGCAGAATCTTTTTGCTCTACAAGTTCAGGAAGTAAAGGTCACCTCGTCACCATCGGTAGTAGTGCTGAAAACCGTTTTGTCGCGACGCTTTGGAGAACTTCTCATGGTGGTGATGGTAGTGAGATAACTAGGAAGTACACATACTGGATTGGTTTGAAGAGGTGGGGTAATAGTTGGCGTTGGTCGGACGGATCACCATACCGGTACACAAATTGGGCAAGAAGTGAACCTAATAACAAATGGAAACGAGAAGATTGTGTCCACCAGTGGAAAAAGCATTATAGTTACCTGACCTGGAATGACAATAGATGCTCGAAGAGGTTATCATTCGTATGCGAGACATAGAAAATTCCCCAAAGTGATTCTGACATATGTTTGCAGCACCTTATATAGCACAACGAGACTGTAATCTTGTCACTTGTTTTAATTTAATTAAATATTTTGATCGTTCCATAATTCAATTCCCCAAACAACTTGGATTCAGTTAATTACATTCTTGACATGGTGTTATAAAAAAAAAATATATGAGTCCTAAATGCATACGAACCCTTTCAACACTTTGCCTCTAGAAACCTTGTTCCATTAATGGACGAACATTTCTGAGTAGCAACTATAACA